AGTTTCATACCAAAGCGAAAATCTTTCGAAGCTCTGTCAGTGACTTTTGAAAATCTTCCTTTTTTTCATCAATATTGGCATCGAGCCATACTAAAATGAAATTCTGCACGACTCTTCTTGGTCGTGCTCGAAAATCTTCTGAGGAAGCTGTAACAGTAGTGCTAGTAGTGACCTGTTTTGATGTTGTTGAAACCACGTTTGTACTGTATTCTGCAGATGTTACGCTGCTAGCTGTGGATGATTTGTTTTTATCCATGTTGTATGTATTTAAGAGATTTTACTAATGTAAGAAAGAATGAATTAATGGAAGGAATAGCTAAGAAGTGTTGTTTTAGATGACTGAGCTATCACTGATGTAGCAGTTGCAGAATGCCTATCCAGCCAAATTCAAAATTCTGTGATTGTTTGAAAAATTAAATGCTTAAATAATAGAATTCTTGTGAGTTTTTTAAAATCTGAAATATGCTTGTTTGATATTATACAGGCCCTCATCTAACTCAGTTAATAATGACTTCAGTCAAAGACTTATTTTCTAGTTGGTAGCCCAATAGAATTTTCTACTACGTACTGAAAATTAGTTTTTTGTACAAACACTTCGGTTTTGTTTGAGAGAAGCTTTGATACCAATCGCATCCATGGAATTCGAGAAGCCAATATAAGGAAAGCATTAAGAGATTCAGACTATAATGATCTCTTTGTAAAATGATTGATACATTTGCAATTCTTACGGTTAGTATAAATGCAGCAGATCAATATGGTACGATAGTACTAATACCTTAGTCATAATACTAGCTAAAGACTAAATAGTTTTCACATGCTTTGACAATCAATTGAAAGATTGATAGTTTTCATCCTTTCGAATCAAAGTTTCTTTTGAGTAGATTCAGTATTTTATTTTATCTATCTCTTAAATCAAATGTATGTTCGGAAGAAAATTCAACAGCTTGATATGCCTAGAAATCCTTAATCTTTTATTGAAAATCAATCCCTTTACATTAAAAATCATTCATTATAATTTTTCTATATTACCTACAAACAATTTAAGTTGAATAAAATATACTTACAAAGTAATTAAGTGATATTGAAGAGTACGAATTTTTGTCTGTTATATTTGAAATGACTTGCACACCGTATTTATCGTTGACGAAATTACCTAGTTTTTTTATCACTTACTTTTGTTTACTTGAATCAGAGACCGAAACCGATGACAAAAGTGCCATTCAATTCGATTCGGCTTTTTAGAACTGTAATTCGATTCGATTCGGGTTTTCTGGTCTTTTAAAAATTGTAATTCGATTCGATTCGG